AACGGGGAGTTGCCGGGGGATTCACTCCCCACTCCCCGAGAGAGAGGGGAGCCCAGCGGCCGGGACGGGGCGTCGCAGCCCCGGCAGCGCCTCGGCGCCGCCATCACCCGTGAAGCACCGGAACGCTGATCCCCCTCCCGCCTGAATGTCCGGCTGCGATTGAGATCCGAGCGTTCCCATCCCGCTCCGGCCCCAGGCGGTAACTCGCAGGGAACAGGTACACGGCCCGGCAGCCGCTGGGGGCCAAATATTGAGGATTACACGGCATCTCACCGCCTTCCATGCTGGGGTACCCTCTGCTCTGCCACTGAAACCAGCAGCTCTGGAAAAGTCTCTTTCTCGGATCTTCCTACCTTACTCCTACCAGGAAGAGGGGATTTTGGATGGAGAGGCAAAGGAGGAGATTTGGACAGTCAAATCCATGGGATTTGGGAAGGCTGGGGGGGCAGCTCCCCTCGTGCACTCGCCGAATAACATTGTGTATTCACTACTGAGGGTTCACAGCTGGTCTCCCAGTAAGGGAAAAGGGGAAAGAGGGAACAGGTTTGGGAGTCAGGACTGGCAGTTTCAGGAAATAACGCCGCTTGCAAGCTGTCCCCACGCACAGGAACGTTAAACGGGCCCTTGGGGGGCTGTATTCCATGGGGGAACCTCTCTCCTCCCGCGACGCTCCCTGTGTGTTGCGGACACGGGCACACGAAGCTGAAAACAGCCCCAATCCCGGGGAAAGTCGGCCACGTAAGACAGGGCCGGGAAAGGGGAAGCGGCCCGAGGACGTCACCCCCTCCAGCAGCATGACCTATATTTTTGCCACTGAACCTTTGGAAAAGGCAAGGGGTTTGGTTTCATAACTGAATACACACACGATTTTGGATTAACATCAGGGTTACGTTCCAGTGGCATATTTTCAAGGGTAATTGAACGTTTACAGGTAAATTGAGCAGACACTCAAACCCCTCCCGAGGCCGATTTTGGGCAAGTTTCTGGAAAAGCTCCATTTCCAAGAAGTGTTAACCCCCTCCCCACCCCAGCCCTTGCTGGAAAGGGCAGGGCCCCGACCCGACGCAGCGCTAACCCCAAACTCCCCCAGCGTAAAAGATGAAAAGTCTGTACGCGATAAACCATTTCACCACCTTCAGTAATTACTGCGCTTTCATAAAGGGCAAACAACAAGTATTTTAGTATGAGAACTGTTCAAGTAAGTTTTAATAGAGTGCACCAGTGAATCAAGATGACTTGCATCAGATTTTGTTTCAATGAACATCAGATTTTTTTTTTTAAGAAAAAAAAAAAAAAAAAAAAGAAGAAGAGGGGCTACAGTTCTTTCTTCCCAAACACCACCCTTTTTCTAAGGCAACGACACACGTCCATCTCCCACCACAGCGGTTACAGAGGAAAAGCTACATCACGTACAGAATGTAAAGTCCGTCTCGGCCAAGAAGCCACCGGCGAATGGCACATTTACTACACTTACAGCCTTCTAACTTAGGGTTACAGAGTTTACCACAGCTTTTTTTTTAGTTTTTATTTTTTAAAGTGACAATTTCTTAATGAACTTTCTATTCTTCACAAGAGTGTGCAGATGGGGCCCATATGTTGATATTACAGTAATTACGACATTAAATAACATTGCACAACCAACCTCTATGGTTAATTCAGTACAAAATAACAAGTATTAAAATGTACCAGTACTAGTGGTTTTACATAGTTTATAATCATTAATTATGAAGGAAAAAAATGTGGGTTTTTTTTTTTTTTTTTCTTTTCTTTTCTGTAGGCAAGTGCCTAATTACAAAGCTGCACATTACAGGCATAATGATGTGGAATAAATACAAGAAATCTGGTAAAATATTAAACACAAACAGGTTACATGGGAACAAACTGTACAACCACAAAAGCATAAATCAACGATTCATCATTATAAACAATGTATGTTTAGCTGTAAAATATTACGTGGAATTGCATGTACTCTTTGGGGGCACATGTTCCAAAAGCCGAGCTAATTCCTGAGGTGGTGTTATTAACTTACACAATTGGTCAACACTTCAGATTATCTTGTGCTATTAAACAGTCCCAATATTAATATATTTCCATAAAATGGAATTTATAGTATTTCTGAAGGCAGCAAACAAGTGATATTGTACACCATGATACTCAAAGGAGACAATTGCGGTTCTCCGGGTCGGTGCTACATCATTAAGGGGCGGGGGGGAAGTGCTGTCATCGGGGACAGAGCATCCCCCGGCGCCCGGTTCCCTTCCCACCGCTCTGAGCCGGCCCCAGGCAGAACAACCTTCTGAAACTGTAAGTGCCAACACTGTAAACATGTTTGTATATATTTTTTTTTGTTTGTTTTTCTTCTTCTCTCAACTAAACACTGTCCAATAACAAGGATAAGAGCCAAAGATAAGCAGGAACAGTCTCGAGTAGAAGAAAAGCCGATTATTCATCGACTTCTCGTTCAAATCATGAACAATTTTTAAATAATTAAAATGGTCATGCTACAGTCGTGAGAACTAGTTTTGTGCATTTGACTCAGGACACAAGTTTTTTAAAAAACGCATGATAGAGGTAAGACTTATAAAAAACACCAAAAATGTAAATGATAGGGAAGAACTTTTCCAACTCAAAGCATCAAACATACATTTCTGTGCAGAAATCTAGACAACTATACAAGATCTGAATTTAAGCAGTCATCTCTTTATTATACAACTCTATGAACATAAAATGAACAGAATGCTCTATATACTTACCTGTACATGTGAACATAACTTCTTTAGCTACAGTTATTTAATATAGGTCATACTGGATTTAACTTTACAATTCTGAATAACTATGTATAACCTTATTGCAATAAGGGCTGTTTCTACATGGGGAGTTTCACAGGCCAATCACGAGGCGTAACCAGTACATTCAACGTGTAGATCGTGTTTGAATCTTCCCTGATCCCAGAAGACGAAGGTTCTCTTTACAGCTTCAGCTCGTTCGCTATCTTGGATGCAATGTTCTTAAAGGCGATAGAAGTCCCGGATATTCTCTTGAAGCGAACCCCGTTGAGCGACAACCGCGGCAGTTTGCAGACCTCCATCTCCCACTGGACGAGGCTGTCCTGTCGCGCATCGCCGTGAACGCAGAAGAGCAAAAACCTCTCCTTTTGTTCATAATCACAGTTATTCGCATCTAACACCTTCCGAATCTCTCTCATCATATCATTCGGGTCCATAGAACTAGTGGTCTTCATACTCCACGTGAACCGCAAGGAGCGTGGCTTCGAATCCTTGCCATCCTCCTTCTCTCGGTCCTTGGGCTCCCCAGAAGCGCTCCTGGAAGAGGCCACACACACACAACGGTCAGAAGGCAACGTGACGGAGCCAAGAGAAGACAGAAGAGAAATAACGGTTCTCGAGCAGGGGTTTCTAAACCGCCACTGACGCCACTGGCCAACGAGCCAACTCAGCAGCCGTGTCCCATCTCCTGTGGGGCACCGGGAGGTGCCACCAGCGCCGGAGCAGCCCCGGCAGTGGCGGAGTTGGAAACCCCTGCTCGGGAGCGTTGGGATGAGAAGGTGTGCGATGGCAGCCGCAGCAGACAGAGGGCACTCCAGACCGCCCCAGGCAGCGTGGGGCTGTGGAAGCATGGCTGAAGTTTCTGCATGACCCGGAGCATGCCGGACACCCACAGAACTGAATCCAGGGACACAGTCCTGAAGCGGAAATCATACCGGGAAAGCAGCAGAGGAAGAAATCCCACCCTGCGATTCACAAGTCCTCGGTTAATCCCCTCCCCTCTTTTCCGCCTTTCCCCCCTTTTGCGTTTATCATGGATTTTTGACCTCTCTCTGTGTAAAAAGACCTTATAATAATGCGCTTTATTTTGACTGATGAAGCAGAATTTTGCGTTGTTAATTTGGTTGTGAAGAGGTTGTTTGTGGACCAGCTGAGCGCTCAGCCAGCCAGAGAAACAGCGACATCAAAGTATTTTAGTTGATAGGATGACTTGGGACAAAATTTCAAGGGAGCAATTTCCAATGAATGTTCCTGCTCTGACCCTTCTTCCCTCCTGAACAGATCACTTACTGCAGTGCAGAAAGCGTTTTGAGGAACAGCACTAAGTGTTTCACAGTAATTCCACACCAGCTATCTCTGCTCCTGCCCCAGGCACCTCGGATGCCCAAGGCGTCCCCCCACCCAGTGGCTGGGGAAGGGGCTGCTCCCACCACCATAAACTGTGGCTATTCAGAGAGGAGTCAAAACGAGTGTTTTTAATTCGAGTTTGAGCGCGATCCCCAGAGAACCACCTGGATACTGAAGGACAGAGCACGGCAGGGGTAAGATCTGTAACGTTTAGCCCCAAACAGACACTGTAGGATGACAGAGCAGAGGGAGCCGGAGAACGAGAGCGGGAGCTGAAAGCGACTTCACACTTCCCTCGTTTGAACGTTCAATTAATCGCTTTTCCCTTTCCAGGTAAGAATTCGACAGTGAATAGACTTTGGATTGAAAAGGGCTGATGTAGATAAAACGCATTGTGTATCATACAATGTATCTTGTTAAGAACATGCTCCTTTTTTTTTTTTTAAGGTTTTTTTTTTTTTAATAAAAGCTTTCTGTTTTGGAAACGAAGTTGATACTTTCTGTAGGTGAGGGGTTCAGAATGCAAACTACAATGCCTGTTCATCAGAGAGCGCACAGATAACGTGATGCACTGTGCTAAGCACACCAAAATGCAGAACCAGACGCTGAAACATGGCAAAGAGCAGATATACTGGAAAATGAGCGTATGAAGGAATGCTGTATTAATTACTAACAGAGCACCAATAGATTTGTGTACAGCATTGCCGTACAAATTCAATATTTAGCAGTCACCGCCCTTTTTGTCTGAATGTCACTTAGTTTATTTCTCAGTGCAAAGTGACATTCATTTCTCGGGGACCATAAGGTGTTTACTTCCGGCAAACAGCAGCTCTAGTAATGAACACAGGATATAACTATAGTCAAAATTTAATATATACATATATACACACAGACACGCACAAAGTATACTACATTTTCCACTGAAACCAAAAGTAAACACCATTAAATATTTATAAGCCAAACCATGATTTTAAGTGCCTAAATGATTGGTTGACTCCTGCAGGGGGCTTTGTTATTCAAAGGAATATGCTTAAATAAAGTTTTATATTAAATACTTCGCAAGAAAGCAAAAGTGAGGGATAAAGGACCTCACCAACCCCCCTCCCTCCAGATAAAGACATTTTGGAAATGCAGATTACTTAAGCACTATTCTATGTTACATCCTGATTAAAAGTCTTTAAGAAATCACTTAAACCTTGATGCGAAAGACCTAGGAGCGAAGTATTAATAGTGGCTCCTCACCTTGAGGTGTCAGTTCTGCCACTGGCTTCGCCTTCACTTGGATCCCTCAAAACAAAGTTAAGGTTGAGATTCAATGATAAAGGTGAAAAATAAAAGTTAAGAAAACCTACATCTAGAACAATGTTAAATAGCTGCCCAACAAAAAAAATTAAAATAAATCAGTATAATAACGCCAAGCCTAATACTGGTTAATAGTATTTTTTTTCACAGCTCTAGTTTTAATTTCCTTTTATGATACCTTAACTTCTTTCAGTTGTTTAATTTGTTTTTTTTAAACTGCTGGTAAAACCAAAACGCCGTTCTCCACCCGCCGCAGACATGATGCCCGGGGTAACTCCAGCCAGCACAGAGAGCTGCCATCAGGGCAGACCCTTCGGGCTGGGGGACGTGCCCCACTTGAATGCGCCCAGAAATTAAAGGTTTCAGATGTGCCTAAGAGTTTGGGAACCCAGTTCAGAACAGTTACTTCAACATCTGCTTAACTTTAGGCAAATCAGCTGTTACATGGACTTTGGTGAGATTATCGGTGAGCTTGAGGTTAAACACATCTTTTTTCTGTTGCTGAACTAGAGCTGTACTTTACCGAGGAACTGGTTTTGGATTGTGCCTTTTTAGACTGAAGCAACTTGAAAAATACCCATAGATTGTATAAGCCACCCGGGTATGTTCCTAGTGCTGCTGTACAAACATTTTAGCACCCAATTTAAACAAGCTAATTAATTTAATAGCTTCAAAACACAAATAATTTAGTAACTAACATCAGAGAAGTATCATTTGACATAAACCATTGATACAAAATGCTTCAATACCCTGTTCATTAAGTATTCTCATTATGCATTTATTTTACATACTTACCAGAAAAGGCATTTACCTTTGCCAAAAGACAGTAAAAAGTCTTTCACCTTGTAATCAAAGTATGCTTTAAACTGTTATTTCCTGAACAGTGCAGAAGTTAAAGGCATGCAGTTACACAAGCCAAATAAAAGAAGAGCACCCCCCCCTCCCCAAACCTCCACCCATATCACCCCCAGCCACTATGAGTTTCGAACAACCCAAAATTTAAAAAAGGATAAAACCACATAGAAATACCAACCACCCCACCTCCAGCAACAGCCCAAAAACCCTACAAAGCCTTCACTACAGGGAAATGCATTTGTAGCAGTATAAAACAAAATAGGAAATTGAATAAAAATGTTTATAGCAAAGATAATCTTAAAATTTTAAAAGACATATATTTACAATATATTAATTATAAACAATAGTTCACAACATTATTTTAATATTGTTGTTTAACATAATGAAAATATTCTTTGATCTGACTCTTAAAGGTCCCTTCCAACCTAGGTGATTCTGTGATTCAAAAAAATTCCAGATACCATTCCTTGCAAATAACAATGAGCTATAATGCAAAAAAACCAGTCTGAGCTCTTGGAATTGGTTAGTTACCAAAAAACACCTTCTTCCCATTTGGGAATCTGCACTTACAACCGCTTCACTAACTTTGCTGTAACTTTTTTTTTGTTTTTCCTTTTTAAAACAAGAGAACAAACTCTCTCTCCCCAATTATTGAAGTGCTGGAGATCCCAACAGTGGAGGATCAGAGTCCTGTAACTTCAGGTTTCTGAAAAAAGAAAGTCATTCATGTAGTTTTTTTTGTTTGTTTTAGGTCATGACAGGAGGTGTGACTCTGACACTGAGGCGCCATCGGCTCACCAGGTTAAATCAGTTTTATGAGGAATATCACTGCATTCCTAGCTTTCTCTCTTCTCTTCCCTTGTAATATCACCTCATGCAATTCAGGATATTCTACTTACAAACTTGCAACTGCTTAAGCAAGCTCTGAATTTACTTTTTTGCTTGTTTGTGGGGTTTTGGGGATGTTTTTTTTTAGTTGTTTGGGTGTTTCTTTTTTGCTTGTTTGTTTTTTGGTTTTTTGTTGGGTTTTTTGTTTGTTTGGTTTTTGCTTTGTTTTTCTTTTTTACACACAAAGGATAGAATTCAGTACAAAATCCCATGACTCCGCAAAGAAAATAGAACTTTCCAAGATCCAAGTCTGTTGTAAAACTGACAATAACGCGGTATGGACACATCCATAAACAGGCTTAAGAATTACAGGTAAAACACTGTCAGAAAGAGGCAAACTGTGAATTTAGTCCCCTTTTGGGAAAGCTATTGTGAGCACTAAGTCAACAGTCACTTGCTATTAAACAGTGCATTTGCAAGTCTCTCCCAGCACCTTTCCTACAGTATTATTACTGTCAGCATCATCACAGGGATGAACATCCAGGACGGGTGGATTTTCTTCTTTCAGAATCCCGAACTCACACTGGAAGAAGCTGGTAACATGGTGTGAAAGGCTGCACGATACTGAAATATTAGTATTTCCACACATCCAGCCTTCTGCCCACTTCAAAGCTTCTCATTTATTCACAGATTTTAGAATTCCCTGAAATAATTTGTTAATACCTATTCTTTCTAAGCACGGCAATAAAATCGTTGTAGATACAGCCCTTGCAACTGCATCCTGTTAAAAAAGTAAAACATTCTTACTCGTTTTTAAGGCACTGCTTTCAGTATTTAAGTTCATTTAATTGTAGCAGCTTCGTATTTTAGCTGTAAGGCGTGACCAAAAAAACCCCTTTTGGAATAGCATTCTCTTGCTCCTTTAAGATAAAGCAGCAGAAGAGCTGGTGAAACGTAAGGGTTACAATATACACAGAGAAGCAAAACGAGGCAGGTGCTGGAAGTAGCACATACACCAAGCGGCATTCTAACTAAATTTACATTTAATTCAGACTTAAACTGGAAATTCTCAGCGGCCCTAGTTACAGGCTGGGCTTTTTTTCCCCCCTCCCTCCGAAACCCCGAGGTACTCACCTGCGAACAAACTTGGAAGTGATCTTGCTTATGATGCCGGTGGAGGTCCCTCTCCGGGTGTGAGCGAAGGCCCCGGTGTCGTGGGAGGGGGAGGCGGGGGGCCCGTTGTAGGTGGCGTTGCGCCGCTCCCGCAGCTGCTCCCCGTGGAAGGTGCTGCGGCTGGAGCTGCCCCGGGGGAAGCGGGTCCGGTCGGGGGTGCTCGTGCTGATGCTGTGAGCGGACGGGGAGGCAGCGGGCACCCTCTGAGAGGCGCTGCTGGGGGAACAGAAGCGTAAGCAGAGGGAAGGACCCCGCTGGAATGAACCCTCCTACGCAGCAACCGCTTCTCAGAGACAGGCTGAGATTTGGTTTGATCGACCGCTCTTGTGTGTGTTTTAAAACCTAAATCTGCTACTGATTTGCTACTATGGTTTGTACTGACAAACAATCAAGAAATACTTTCATTGTAAAATCAAATTTCCTCAAGTATTAAGAGCAGTTAAAAAAGTACACAGAGGTAACAGAAGAAAGAAAAGAGAGAAAAGTCTGTAGTAAGGTCTGAAAGTGTTCCCAGCCCCCCTTCCGAAAAACATGGTCACCAAAACCTTGAACACACAAGTGCTCCAACAACTTAATGGATATTTCTTAAGAAGTAACCACCTGGCACAAATAGACGTACAAAGCTGTTGGGCACTTAATAGTGAGAGCAACTACACGATGGTTTTTTGTGACAGAAATGACCCTAGCAATTCCCAAACCCAAGAGCTTCGCATTTCAGCATCCATTTGAATTCACGGTGGCCTGTGTTGGACACTCTTGTCCAAATTAGTTACAATTTTAACTAAAGCTTTCCAGAAGCTTCCAGAGGGAGGCAGTCACAGGACTTCTGTAACTGTATGCAAATATGAGTGATGAACTCAAGCTTAAATCACCTCTAACACCCAACACCGCTCGAGTGAGTTACGTTCCAAAGCTGAGCGATGGTTCGGAACAGATCGCAAAGGCATTGACGCACACCATGAACTGAACAATAACGTTCCTGAGGTGCACAGCGTTGCAGGAACAGCAGCAGATGCCTCACCTGGGCCGGTAACCTTCAGTGCCATCCTTGATGGTCGGCAGCGTCACTTTGATGGGGTGGCCGGAGGCAGACATGGACTTCTGGTGGCGCGGCCGCGTGGAGATGGCGGGAGTGGCCGCGGAGCCCGCAGAGGAGGTGCTGCTGGCAGACATCTCCGTCAGGCTTCCGCACGGCAGCGGGACGGACAAACGGAAAAGAGAGGTTAGTGTAAAGCCCCAGAGAAAACGGGGAAAATAACAACTCCTTTCTGCTCTTAGAACACAACAAGTGCTGTCTAAATAACCAGAAGACTGAGTGAGCAGGCTGCCTCCATCAGGTAAAGTAAACAGAAGTCCGAGAAAATTATGTTCATCCATAAATCACATCATCTTATATGTTAAATTAGGCCTTTTCATTCCTCCCAAGATTAACGCTTACACACACATTATTCAAAGTAATGAAGAAAGACTACAAATAGTACATGGAAATAGTAAAAACGTACTGAAAAAGAAATGTGCAAAAGACTGAAATAGATTGATTAAACAGACTCCTTTTTTGTGAAATGGATACCCGTATTTTCAGAAGACTCAAACACCCAAAACATCGAACATGGGGATTGCTGTCACATTATCCCTTGGGAGTGATGCTGTTTGTCTCCTCTGGCCCTTTCCACCCCTGCTCAGCTGAGCCAAGCCCCTCAACACGCGGTTCCTGATGCCGGTGACTATTTCTGCTGCATCCAAGTGGTAACGAAGAGATGAAAGCAGTGGCAAAACTACTGCCATTAATTTTTAAAACAGAAGTCAAAACGACTTAAGCCAAACTACAGCTTTGCCTCTATGAGCATTAAACTAAACCACATTAATAATGCATCCGCATCAACAGCCCCAAAGCCAAACAGTATCTGCAGCCAAGAGGCCAAGATTTTGGGTGAACAGTGCAATGACACAGGGTGCTCAGCTGCCACACAATGTACTGCAGGAAAGGCAAACAGGACACAGCTCAGAAGAAAAGTCTTCTCCTTAATTTTTCAGAAGGTGCTCAAAGAGCTGAGTGTATTTATTGCACTCATGAAAGGAACAGGGATTAAGAGTCATCCATCTTTTCAATACTATGGGAAGACATTAAATATAAACAGTAAAATGAAAAAAATTTGAAATAAAAATCCTTTTCATTATAATGGTTTTGGTACTAAATCTATTGAAGGAAAAACATCGTCAATTTTTATGAGATCAGAAAAAATATTTTAGTATATATTTTAACCCTAAATACAAAAATAGATGTTGTATTTTCCTTCTTTAAAAGGACTGTTACAAACTTTGTTCAAATATTTTAAACTACACACAAAAATTAATGTACTTCCTTAAAGCAATTTAAATAGCTGTACTTTACCTGTTCCACAGCTCATCATTTTACGAGATCTTTAGCTTTATACTTTTCCTATTTCCAAAATTAAATGCTTCTTAAAAAAATTCAAACACTAAGACAGAAAGCAAATCCAAACAAGTTTACTAGATATTTATTTAATGATAGAGATTTTTTGTTTCATTCTACCTTAACTGTTCTATCTAAATAGCTTTTAAAAAAATAATTAGAGTAGGAACTCTTAGCTTTAAACAAACAAACAATCCAGTATTTACTACTGTCCATTAAAGTCAACATGTTTTTTTGGGTATGGGGTTTTTTTTCGTTTTGTTTTGGTTGGTTATTTTTTTCCGTTAGTTAACCCCTGTACCAAGTCAGGGCCAGGGATTAACTAACACCAGGAATGAACAAAGAATGTATTTTTAAAAAAGTAGTTGTGGCAAAGTTAAATGTATGTTTAACAAAACATACTAAATGGAGTGTAATTCTCACTCCCCATACAGATCCATGCTGGTTACCACCACTATGAAAAGACTATTTAGGCCAAGAAATGATATCGAAAAGGATGGACAAGTCCAATTGGAGTGATTTCTAGTGGCAATGAAACAGGACCAGACAATCCATGTGTGTGTCCCCGCAGCAGAACTGCCCCTGAGCTGTGAGCAGTTACCTCACTCTGTGCTGGAAGACAATCCCTGGTGATAAGTGTGATTCCATAAAAAGAGGCAAAGGCAGAGCCACGCTTCTAGTTATAAATTTCATCACAAACACAGAAACCGCGGGGGAGGAGGAGGTGAAAACACACAGTTGGATGATGTATTTCACACCACGTTCATAATGGCATTAACTGCACAACCTGCTGCTTCTGTGCCCTGTCCCTGTTCCCACATTAATAAACACGAAAGGTTGAAGAATACCTGTTGTCCTTCCCATTCTGAATTGCAGAATAGCGATCCGAAGAGCGTTCACAAACGTATGTGTTCCTCCTGGTCATTCCACTACCAGAAAATACATTATTCTACAAGAAAGTTAAGAGTAAAATGAAATTAAATACTTTCTTCTTCTAAATATTATCTTGTACAAAAATGTAATCATTGGAAGGAAATCAAAACAGTTTCAGCCGTTTATGTATATTTTTAATGTCTTCAAATGTACCAGGTTCATCTGTTGACAAAAATCACTTCTCTCATGAGCTATTTTTTTTCCCCCAATAGCTCCATTCACCATCACATACTGAGCCGTTAGGAGTATGCTAAAAGAAAACGTAGAGAAATTTAATCTTGCTTTACTAAGTATTATTATCTAATTCCCATTCGCTGTGTTAATGAACAATGTGTCTCCGGGACCAAGAGAACACATGGGATCCCAGAAAACATATCTGTCTGGCTGGCTACAGGCTTCTGTGTGCCCGTTCAATTGCCAACTACAGCTTCAGCCTTACAGTTCGTTGCCCCCTGTCAGGAGAGTTTTCAAGAGAAAAGTGAAAAGATGATCGATCTGTGTCAGTTACCACAGAGATTACAATGCAGATAATGTGGCAAATAGGTCTTGTAGCAACAAATACCGATAGGACTTTGTTTGCACATACTTCATAAAACACCCCCAAACAGCCCCCTCTTGCCCCCGCCACGCACAGATCAGCAGCTGAACACTTACTTTCAGTGCGTGACGTACAATTCTCAGTTCTTAATCCAGTACATACTGAATTTGGGGTGGGAGAGGTTTGCAAAGTGCTAGCATTCCATACTGACGTGCACTGGCAACAGAGTTCAGATCCACTAAGCCTGGGCAGGACCCCATAAACCCCGCAGACTCCTTCTGTAGGACACCATGGACTCTGCGAGATTCCCCGTGGTTGGTGTCCCCCACCCAGAGCTTCTTGGTATCAGCATCACCCCGCAGCAGCCACCGAGTAAACAGTCCCAAAGCCAGCTCATGGGGAAGATTCACAACTGCAGGAACTGGTTTGGAAATCAAACTCTCTGAAGGGAGACAAGTATGACTGAAGGTGATAAATAATCACTTGTTTCTGTGTAAGCTGCTCAACTGTAACTGCTGCCCATCACAAAGCCTTTCACAAAGTCCCCAAAATAGCAACAGAACTAAAAACGTACAAATACTGAGGTTGCCACTAGCAAGTAAATCAATTTATCATTCTTCATAGCAAAGATACTCCATTTAATTAGTTCTCACAAAGCAGAGAAATGCTTTTGACATATCAGCTTCTGCCATACGTGACTGCAATCAGCTTTGGGGCAATAGCTTGGGAAAGCTCAGATAGGAAATCTAATCTTCGAGGACTCAGAGCTCCCGCACGCAATGCACAGCATCAGTTCATAGACTCTTTGTGGGGGAAAAACCTCTATTTAACATTTAACATTTGAACAAAAAAGCATCTGCGGGTGTACTGAAGACACAGCCTGCAGGCTGTCAAGAGTTAAGTGAACTTCAGCATTTATTTTGTTTAAAGAGAACTCTAGTAGAAATGCAGATCACCTTCCCAGAACATCCAAGATGGGAGAATCCCAAAGGACAAGGAGAATTCCTGCTGCCTGTCTACTGTACTAAAAGACAGGCAGAATTTTTCGATTTAACACAGCATGTCTCCAAAATAGCAAAAAGTATAGTTAAATATTAAATTATGACTAATGCACGTTACAGGCTTTGGTTTTGGTGGTGGGTTTTTTACCCCTCACAAGAACTCCTCCTCCCAAGTGGCTGTTGAACACTGTGAATATTCTTTCATTGTGCATCCTGAACACAGATATTACTGCACATGGACTTCCACAATGCAAAGTAGATGCTTTTATAATAGAGAGACAGACTCTCCTGTTTGGAACAAAGATGCCTGAGGCAGCAACACAATCGCGGTTTACAGAACTACGAGTGATATCATCACAGAAGAACTAGCAAATTAATCATTCTCAATGCAAGAACCAGGCTGTAAACCATAACATCAACAGGCACACGCACCAGGGAAGGAGTAGGTTGTTCCCCCCCCACCTTACCCCATCTCTGAAGGGCAAAATGAAGTGGCTTCAGAAAGCTAAACAAGCAAATTCACAGATAAAAAGTTTGTGATGTCTATTAGGCAGATTTTTTCAGATGAAATCTCTGATTCACAAAGTCCTTTGACTTCCTTGCACAGACAAGAGCATTAGAAACCAGAAAAAGAGCGCTCCATATTGGCTCCGTTCTGACATTTTTTCCCTAAATACCTACTATTTGTCTTGACAGATCGTCAGTTTGCCCAAGCACAGACATTCTTGTGCTCACTGTTACGTTAGTGGTAGAAAAAGAGAAGTTGTGGGGGGAAGGGAAAGGTTTATTTTAAAAGGCATCCACTGTAGCCTATTTCTGTCTGCCAGCAAAAGGGACCAGAAATAGACTTTGTGGCTTACTCAGTAACCATCATGTCTATAGTAACCTCATGCAGCAGATTTGGTTTAAATAGGGAAAAATAAATATAACGAGCCAAAAGCACACACACTCACACTGGCAACTGTAGTTGATTTCTTTCTCTCAGGACCCACGAGGGGACTGGCAGCCATCTCTCCTCGGGACCCCACCGTGGTGCTGCCAAGTTTGCGTGAGACGTCCTTGTCCCAGTCGTCCTTCTGTTCGCTCTCCACGCTGTTCGCCTGGGCCCTCTTCGTGTACGACACAGCAGGAGGAATGGAGGGACCAACTGCCAAACAAAAACAGTTTTAATAAACACCTAAAAATAATCACGGCATTCTTCTTGGCCAAAAGTCTAAATTTAATTCCCTGAGTTCAAAAAAAAGCATTTGAGTGACCATGACTGCAAACCCGGCACAAACACCAACCTGTTACATTCCTCTGTTCTTGTTACCCTCTCCCTCTCTTTGCTCCCCATTTGCAGTTCAGAATTAGTTCCCATTTCACAACAATGTGTAAAACCTACAATTCTAATTCTCATCTTAAACCCATGCAATTTGTGCAATACTATGAAGAAAGGAATTCAAGGATACTTTTCAAATTATCTGGCTTTAGTACTTTTTGCCACGTCTTTTCCTCTAAACGCTACAAAAGATCCTTTTCCCCTGAAAGCCCTAGAACTACTTTGTTTTAAAGCACATTTATACTTGGAAAAATTACAATTCTTTTCCCCTCATCACTCTTTAAAGTGCTTTGGGGCAAATCCTCCATCAATGGAATTCTACAGTCCCTTGAAATAAAAATCACATCAGCTAATGATCTTTACAATACTGGTTACTTTTTTGGAAAAAACAGCACCTATTAACACAGATGGAGAATAGTAAAAAAAAAAAAAAAAAAAAAAAAAAAAAAAAAGGGAAAAAATTAGAAATAACCATGTAAATTATGCAGAGAAAAGGGTAATTTTAGAATTATTTCTAGTAATGTGATAGTTCTCTTTGAGGAAAAAAAACAAATCACCTTTCATTTAATGTTTTAGATTATGCACTCCTTTTTGATGTAACCACTTCCACCTGAAAACGTTCCCTGAGTACTTGGTAAAATTGTAGTCTCTTGAAAACAATTTGGCCCCAAATCCAAATGTACTGCTAAACGTCATGGTTTGCTGCCTTTGAGTTTATCCAGACCAATATTCCGCCATTAGTTCCTGCACAGGAAACATCCCCAGGCTCTTATTTAGCGAATTAAGTGTGTGAATTACACAGATTCACCACGAAAGCGTTTACAAACAGCAGCACCACAGCGGAGCAGGATGAGATACACAACAAATGCAGAGAGTGGCGTGGACCTGCCCGGGTCACAAACCACTGCACATCCAGACTGAAATTGTGTTGGAACGTCACCCCCACCATGATCGCTGAACCGCCGCTGCTTCTGGTTGGTGGAGACGCTCCGCTGGACCTTCAGGTGCGCGGGGGACTGCACGGAGCTGTTGTTGAGGTCGCTGCTCGGACGGGACCTCTGGCCCAAGTTGCTGCCGGACAAGGACTCGCCTCCTTCAAACTGCAGGAAAAACAGGTTTTCAAAGCATAAACAAAACTCAACGTTACTGGTACTTTTATGGGAGTTCCAATCAAAGGCTTCTTTATTTTTAAATTTTAAATTTTATCCATAGTTTAATTTTCTTCTAGATGAATTATCATATCATCTGTGTTTAATGTGCTTTAAAAACACACAGCTAAAGCTAATTAATGAGTGCTCAAAATAAAATTTTAAGAATCTTGACAGTACCAAAACCTGTGCTATTTTAAAAACCAAGCCAAAAAATGGCTCTCCCTGCCTTTTTTTGTTTATTTGTTTTACAGCCTAAAGAGCATTTATAGCTCAAAATGCACTGGATTGAGTCAGCAGAGCTAAAACAGCAAGTACTACTGATTCAGCGACTCTTTATGGCCTTCAACAGATCTTCATAAGGTATGTATGTGACTCAGCCACTAGTTTGTTGGTATCTAAGAAGCATAAGCTCTAAGTAAGAGCAGTGGGAAAGACAAATATCCTCTTCCAAGCAGTTTGAATCAAAATGATTTTAGAGAGATTCCCTCCACGCTCTGCCATCACAAGGGAATTCTGGCTCAGAGATGCAGTGGGAAAATGCAATCAGGGAAGCACATATCAGATCTATGGCATCTCGGAAACAAAGGAAGGCCAAGGAAGCAGCAGGAAAGTAACTCCTCCAAAAAGAACGCCCTGCTCTCGGCTTGATTTCTTCAAAATCCCTGTGGTCCCAAAAGATCTACAGATCTCTCTAGTTCCAAAACAATCAAAAGATTTTTCTATCACAAATTTATTCATGATTACAATGCAATTATTTACAAATCAATAGAATATACTACAATGTAGTATATGACTGAGAAAGTATGAGCATGTTTCTGAGAAATAAAGGATGTCACATCTTAGTAGTCGGAAGAAGAATTGTTCCAGTCAAATTGCCTATTTCAGATTTTAAACACACACGACAAAGAAGACTTAGCATTTAGAAGACATGCCACTGCAGATTAACAGCTATGTTTTTAAAAGCAATTCAACATATTTACAAGCAAACGTGAAGATACTATATTCAATCTATTTCTTCATATGGGAACTAAATCCAAGAAGATAAGAAAAGGGAAAGGCTTTTGTAAGTTATCAGTCACATATTTTTTTTAAGACAGATGTTACAAAACAGTTCACAAAAGCATCAACCACCAGAATATTCAACCCAGCCCAATATAAAGGCCAAAATAGAAGATGTAAATTAGGTAGCACTTACCTCAGGTGGTTTTCTACCAAGAAGCAGATAAGTTGCCATGACTTCATCATACTTTTGGTTTACTAAAGATTCATGGATTTCTTCTCTTGAAAAGCCCATTGTGACCATAATGTCTACAATTAAAAAGAGCTAGATACATTAGCAGAGAAAGTGCTTGGGTTTACTGACAGCTTAAGAACAAAGAAAATGGAAAAACACCCTTATAATTTAATTGAACTTGAATTTAACAGTTCAAGGATTGAACTCAACTAGCATAATCTTTGCTGTGGAAAAATCAAAAAGGCTATAACTCCATTCTTTCATTGTTACTTTCTTCTTGGAAACTCTCACCTATGTTACTCAACATTAAAAGTTATTCAACAAACAAATAAGCCACTGGCAAACAGGAACTATGAATAGCTACACGACCAACACAGTATCTTTCTCTGACCATGGCAGAAAAAATTGTTGCCTTCATAACAAAATCCATTTCCCTCTGCCTATTGGACTCTGTAGTCTTATTTGTCTTCTGCTATGCCTGGAGATGCATGTCAGCTCAGTGAAGTCACAACAGTGGTTATAAGGAGGGCATTGTAATGAAATCTCTCATTTAAATACAATCTCATTGTACAAGTAAAATGTTTGTATCTCAAGTTTGCTAAAAGAGTTTAGTTTGACTTACAAGATTAAATTCCCTACACACATCAGATGCAAAATCCTTGCAAAAATCTTACCTATTCTCTTGGTGTCATTAAAGTCTGGTTCAGGCTCAGTATATGGCTTTAGTTCTTCTTCTTCATGGCCAACATTCATCCACCGATCCTTCATAATTTGCTAAGTAAAGAAATAAGCTTTAGGTCAATATGCCGTTTACCATACCTGATTAAATCTGTGCTACCTGATCTGGGGAAAAACAACTTAAAATTCATAATAACGTGAATACTGCTTTTTCCCCTTACACCTTTTCCCCTCACATCTTAGTTTCTTATCTATCACATCCTTTTATTTCCATTGGTTCATTCCCTCTTACTATTTACCTTTATACCTTATAACACCCCCACCCAAAATATCAGAAAAAATACTGAGGAGAAAAAAACCCACCCTGCAGCTCCAACATACAAACACCTTTCACTTTGTACCCTTCACGTGACCATCTCTTAATCTCCTCTTGCTGAGTGCTTGACACTCATGCCCTGGTCTTGGTTAGGATCCCCAGAGGTTTCTACAATACCAACTCTACCACAATAAATTACTCCTTCAAATAACAAGAGAGGAAGCATTTGGAAACTAAGGAACATTTCAGGAGGGTGCCGATGGTTCCTGCAGTCATCCGTTTCAAAATCCTGGTGCCAACTGGTCATTTTTTCCTGTGGATCTTCTCACTGCACTTGACCTAAATATGTTCTCAGTTTGGCTGGAGGGAGAAATGCCTCTTAACTCTCCCTCTGCCATGCAGGCATTTACTTTAAATATCTCTCCTGCATTCTTTGGAAAATTTCCTTCTGCTGTGGCCTGGACCATTTATATTCCTGCAGAACCAATCAGCTGGAATCCCCAACCACCACCACAATTTCTCCTTAAGGACATATTCATCTTTTTTACAACAGCTAAAACCATTTTCCTTGATACAGCAACAGGCACATAGGGAGAGACGCCAATATCACTCACAAGATTGACGGAAGAGTGAAACAACTGCCAGCAAGTCAAGTTTCCCACAAGCTCCAAATATGCCTTGCAAGTACTGAATTGAGCTATTTCTCACAAAGAGCAAAAGACTTAATTTTCCATTGATAAAACCAAATTCTTTGCATGTAGTGCTGCTGCCAAATTACAGACCCAAATAGCTGTATCCTTACAAGAACAAGACAGAACTTTGTACTTGAGCCAGTTACCGTTTTGCTGACAATAAGACTTAAAGATTTGTTCAAAGTTGTGTCATAGAATTGATTTTTTGGTTTTTTTTGAGGGGGATGAAGGGAAAGAGACTGTGAACACGTATTGCCATATTGCATTTTTGGCAGACAGCGTGAGTCTATTTGACAACAGGCTTTGGTTATGTATTTGTAGCCTTGCAGTAATGTTATAGTCTCCCCAAAGGGTACTATACAGGCTCTGCAATTACCATTTCTTAAAGATTCTGTTCATTAAATCTAAAGTTTAAGCACAATGAGGGTGACAGGAATTACACTGCTCAAATCCTACCTCTCTTTCTTGATCCTTCCTGAAGGACCCAGAAATTCCCACTGACAGTTTATGTCTCTTCAGTAGGTGGATCTAGAGTTCAATGTGATCTCCTCTAGGTTTCCATCTGCCAAATAACTAAACTTTTGCCAGCTTCTCTCTTTTAAATACATGATTGCATAGGCACATTGAGTTATTGTACAACTCCTAAAACAGGCTCTTACCATCAAGCATTTTGAAGTGACACAAATGATCTGTATTACCCCTGGGTAAGTCCAGCTGGGGTTCCAGGCAGCTGACTGAAGGGCAGCAGCCTTGGTCAGGGTATTTAAAGATTGATGCAGACCGTCTTTCTTAAAGATCAACCCAAACTGAATTTCAACCAACTAGATATTATTGATGAGGTTTCCCTCAATTTTCAGGAAAACTGTCTAATAAAGATCTGGCCTGGCTCAAGACCTATCTGCCTCAAAATTATTTACTTTATTACTCTCTGTAAGCACAAATCTGCTCTGTGGGAATTTCACATAGCATTGGCTTGCAGAGAATTGGAGACTGGGGGTGGTGAGGAGGAATTTGTTGGAATCCCAATAGTCAGGAGATCCACAATTTTTTTTTCTATTTCTGACTATGCATTTTTCCCATCTCTTCCTGAGAAGATTTAGTGCTTTACAACAACATTCTCTCACTTCTAAAGTGCTTTCTCTGTGCTGCAACCATGAAAGTGTCCAGATGAACCACTTTAATAAAGATGAGACAACCTCATCCTCTCCAGGGGAGAAGAGCTAAGTCTAACCGACACGGTGCTGATCCCGGGTCAGTCTCAGCTTTGGTGCTAATGTCAGACAAACATCCCATCAGATGCTCCAGAAAGAACACGTGTGGGAAATGCACAGCTGGGACTGAGCAAATTATTAACAGACAAAGCACAAACAAAAATCCTGCCTGCCCAAGACAATATTGTCTTTCCACTTTCAGAAACTTCTATAAATATGTACTTTTATTCTAAATATGTCTTTAGAAGTGCTCATACAGAAGAAACAGTTATTTCATTCCAAACAATGTACTATAGCCTTCGAATTCAACAGATATGCGATTTCAAGAACATTCATTTTAAAGGAGTTTATGGTGTCTCCCCTTCGATTAGCACACTGACCAATGCCCGTCAGCACCAATATCTTGGTGCTGGCTCAAGACCCTCCGTCACACATCACGTTTTCTCACTCTCTTCTGTACAATCTGACAACTATGCCAGCAAGGCTGCTAATCCAACACCTCTCTGCAGGGACAGGGAGAGCTGGGTAACACTACAGTATCTAGAAGGCAAGTGAAATTAGATCTGAGGAGAAACTGCTGAAAATCCAGAGGAAAGTTCAATAAAAGAAAAATCTGTTTTCCTAAAACTTAAAACATGACACAGGAAAAAAGTGATGACACTCTTATCATTATGTCCCCTAGACAGTAATAAACACAACATAATTAATGAATATGAGTGAAGCAGAAGCCCCCGTTCATTACGCTCTTCAGTGCAGATTTTATTCAAGCTAAAACTATGCATAACCAGTCACAAACCAGCATCAGCTTGAAATAAGCTGTGTGCAGACAGGGCTCAGGAAGTACATGCTTCCCCGCAGAGGTAGCATCCATGCCAGGGAGCGTAAGTCACGCCCCCTACAAATAAAAAGCTGCTGAAATGGAATTTATTCTCTGGAACACCATCCAGTGCTGCGCAAGTGTGCACAGAAAGATGAAAAAAAAGTCACTGGTGATTAACTCATGCAAATACTATTTTAAAACCATTCTATTTTCTGCTCTACTTCCATCTCTATGGTAAGTAGATGCTATTTTAAAAAGTCTCTCTCTGTTAAAGAATTCACAAAATAGAACAGAGCAGCATTTAGAACTACACACAAAATATTTGTTAAATATCAGCTCCAGAGCTACCCAGCAAGTCTAGCCAACACAGCAATCCTGAACAAAACAGCCCCTTAGTAACACCAAACCTTTAACACACCTTACAAGTTATACACGGATATTCTCTGCATCCCCTGAAGAGAAAACTTCATTTACTAACAAAAAAAACCTCAACCATAACTCAGCAGAAGCCCTAAAAACAGATTTTAGCTGAGGGACACGGCAGTTATTATTATATATGTTAATTTTCCAGCTATTCAGAAACAAAGCTACCAGAAGGGGGAAAAGAAGGAACGGAAGAAAAATAACTAGCAATTATTAGCTTATCATTCAAAGAGATCTTAGTGTTTGTCTGTATTATGGCACTAAAACAAACAAAAAAGCATAGTTTTTTGATCCCATTTATTCTTCTTCTATCTTTCCTTTTTAAGAAGTCATGCTGGAAACGGTAAGTTAAGTTGAAAACACTTATGGAACTGTCTGCTGCTGGTCTTGTTTTCATGAAAAACTCCAAGCAGAAGGTACTTCCAGTCTTTTCCTGCTTTCCACACATTCTGAACCAGCTCCATCATCTGACTGGAACAAGCAGGAGTAGTTTGCACTTTGAAATGGTCTCAGATTATAGGCTTTACTCAGCTGCAACTAAGGTTAGACTTTCATTCCTTAATGCTTTCTGTTTTCAAACTGCTCTGTTTCTAGGACACTTGCTCATTATCATTTTTTTTGACAAGACTTTTGGGCCCTTAAAACAGAAAGTGCCTACTGTGAAAAATACAAAAGTCCTAAGCAGTTATTGCATTTTATTCTTTCTTAATCTGAAAACTCTTTTTTCCCCAAGATGAAATGACTTACTTCCAAGCTGCCTCGTTTTATTGGGTTCAGTACTAGTAGCTTCTTCAGTAGATTTTCACAGTCTGTGGACATGTAGAACGGAATGCGGTACTTCCCCCTCAGCACTCTCTCCCGCAGTTCCTTTAAAACAAAGTTTTAAAAGGTGATCCCACTAATGGCATAGAGACTTTGATGAGAGTAAAAGTCAAGCTTTAATACTGTGACTGTACCTTTAGATTCTGACCATCAAACGGCAACGACCCGCTCACCAGTGTGTACAGAATCACCCCCAGGCTCCACACATCCACCTCAGGGCCATCGTATTTCTTCCCTTGGAATAGTTCAGGAGCAGCATAAGGCGGGCTTCCACAAAACGTGTCCAGTTTATTACCGACTGTAAATTCATTACTAAAACCAAAGTCCGCTATTTTGATGTTCATGTCTGCATCAAGTAGAAGGTTTTCTGCCTAAGAGAAAAATAAAAGAGGAAAAGAACAATTTATGCATTGCAATAAGATCAATATATTACAGTGTATTATTTATCAGTAAGTGCAAAAGTGTTTCTTGTTCTAAGTGGTTCAGCATCTGTGTCATTCTGGCAGAACAGAAGAAACTAATCTCCCTGAATACATTATGAAAACTGAAAATCCACTGTGGTTATTCAGGAAAAGATAACTGTTCAAAGCAGCTAAATGGACTGGGAAGTCAGCTAGTGAATCAGCTACAGAGATTTTCTTTTCTGGAAGAAATAACTTAGTTCAGCTTCAGACTGAAACATCAGACAAATCAGAACAGCAGTTTCAGCTTTTGACAGGCTCATGCCAACTTCTGATGCTGAGGAGCATGAATTTAATCCCAGACACCATCTACTGCTTTGGTTGGAGTCAATGTCAGATGGGATTCAAGACTTTAAAAGAGGATCTCTTCTGCTTACAGGATGGAACACGTGCAGCTACGTGCTATATCTTAACACTCTGTACCAAAAATTTCTTTCCCCTTTATTATTAGCGTTTGCTTTAGCAATAACACCACTGAGGTGCTTAACACTCAAATATTACACTGTGTTTGAAGAAATGCATGTATTATACGCCTAAGAATAGTAATGCCTGTGCAGCAATCCCCATGTGAATGCAACATGTCATATATACATAGGTGCAAGTACAGGAACCTGCAGGGTCACTAAACAGGATCTTATACTTAATATCACAAGTCGGTCAGAAGATTTAAAGAGCGAGGTTGGAGAAATACTAACACATCACTGGAAATAAATACGGTGCATGCCTCAAAATGCAAGGATGCTGTGCAGGGAGTGCAGCAGAACTGGGTCCCGGCTCCCGATCCGCACAAGTGACACGGGACCAGCAGCGCAGGAACCCTCCCTTAACAGGGGGACAGGCCTCAGCCAGAGCAGATGATTCACCTCATTACCAAACACCAGTTCTACAGCAAACACACACATCTCTCATGGGATGCTGCACTCTAAATTGCACCCAGAAAATAAAAAGAAATCTTAGTTGAGCACCAGAGAAGCAGCAAACAATTTGTTAGTTGCTTTGATTAAAAGGATAAACATGATTTTGTTTGGGTTTGTTTGTTTGCTGGTTTTATTTTTAATAATTTCACTTGCACTCAATGAACAGGAGACAATTAACTACTAGTATATCATGCCAATAGTTGCGCAACAGAAGCGCAACAGCATTTAGCCTTTACAGGATTAAAACACAACCCATTTTTACAAACTAACTATCCGGGAAAATACTTTATTTTCCCAACTCATGACCTGTAATCTCAGCTGGTTCCAGCTGATGCGCCTGCAGACAGACCCACAGAGATATTTTCCAGATTTGACAGCCTTCTACATCACTGCACAAAGGCTTCATTTTCCTTGTGGTGAAAACATCACTGTCAGCGCAGCTGCTCTGTGATTACAATAGTCCTCCCCGTGCAGCAGCGCTCCGTTACCCGAGTACCCCACGCTTCTAGGTTTCTTACTTCAAACAAAGACACCAAAAAACCTTTTTAACATGCCAAACAGAAAGACAATGCTCTTGCTGGTTATACGTTCAGAGCAAAAAGTTTTAACAGTCACCGAAAAGGTAAGTTAAGCTTTGTGCATCACAGGATGAGCAGAGTTGGAACTGGTTATAGCCCTTTCTACACAAGCTGTTTATAATCACAGAAAATTAAGAGGAGACAATTTAAGCACCTGTGGGCCCCGCACTCCCTCTTCTGCCAGAACAGCCTGGACAAACTTGCACATTTTCTTACATGTCCTCCTGGTTTGGTCTGAAGTAACCTACATTTGATGGAGTTTACCCTTTCCATTTTAAAATCAAAAAGGCTTATAAACAAATCTTCATGGCAGTGCTAGCCCCCTGCCTGGCAGTGCTAACAAACGTGCCCTGTCAGCGTGCCCATACCGTGGGGATGGTCAACAGGAGCGGATGCGAATGCAGACACAACTTTAAAGTTGCCTCTTCCTTCTCTGCAGCTCCATAAGAAGCATGAGACAGAGATGGCACATAAGGTTTGGAAAGAAGAGATGAAGTGAGAACACCTCAAAGCCGCACCTTTAGCCCTTTTTTCCTTTGGGGACTGTATTTTTCACTGGCCAGGCTGACTGGTTTTTAATTACACCCAACACAGAACTCTTCAGGTGAATCTAGTGTGACTCCATCCAAGTGCAGACAGAGAGAAAAGCAAACAAGCAGATTATTTTGGAGCCTGCCTGTGCTGCAAACAGGAAGGAGTCCAGCAGAAGAGAACGTGTGACAGACGGTGGCAAGGACCCATCCAAACACCCCGGAGCAGTTTGGTGTAGCCCTGTGAGCAGCACAGTGAGCTGTACTGAGCTATGGGGCAAAAGAACGAACAAGGGGGGAAGCTGTGATAGGAAAAAGAACGAGAAGCAGGACGCTGAATAACTGCAGGGTTAATGCCATAAGACTCGGTAACACTCTCCTCCAGGGAGTTGACAAAACACTCATGGGCTCCAAACCACCACGCAAGACAGGGAGGGGTTTTTTTTTTTTAATTTTTTTAAATTAAGATTTCAATGAGATTCAGCCCTTTCCTTCCTTGCATTCTGATGTCAGGGTGCTGGCCAGGCACACCCACCACCAGATGACGATGGTCCTGGGGCGGGAGGACTCAGCAGAAAAGGATGGGCTATCCAGCACCATACGCACACGCAGGAGCTGGCAGATCGACAGGTTATCAGGGAACAGATTTGTGATAAAGAGGTTGAGAGCACCCGCAGTGTATTGTAAGAAAGTTAAGACAAAAGATACTGGTGAAAAGAACCCGTAGGAATTATTCAACCTCAGCTTTTCACAAGTATTTAGATACATTAGTAAAAAAGAATTTATGCCAGTGTTTTCTTTGTAAACATACAAAGACACCAAAGCAAAAGCACAAGCCAGTCTTTAAGCAGGTGAAGATGTTGTGTCCAAGTCCCGTGATACCTAAACTTGGCAGGAAGACAACTTCAGACTGAAGGCTTGGGTTGTACCTGCAATTGCTGAACTCTTCAACATGCTTTGATATGTTTATACACATAGATTACTAGAAAGCATAAAAAAAAAAAGGAAATTCAACTAATTTCTCTTTATCTTCAATTTATTTTTCTGCCTGAAATAAACACTACATTACAAACCAGAAGTTCAAATGGATTAAAAACCTAATGTATTTACTATGTATCACTAAGAAAAGACCATTTTATGTATCTCACAATATATTTTAACTGAAGATATTTTAATTAAGTAGTGCTAACTGGTATCATTGAACTTCTGCAGGTCCAGTCAATTCTTTGGAGAGCACGTCTTTTTCCTAAAGCCATAACTGGAATGAAAGTAACAGATGTTCTATTCTTGTCTATCCCCTGTTCCAACAGCTATGCTACATGATCTTTGTGCTTCAGAAAATTGAGAATAAAATACATGTGGTACTTTCCTCATTCACATATTTGAGGCATTCAGAGACAACGGCAGGGAAAGCATATATAGAATGGAATTACGTCTATACTGTCAACGAACAAAATGAAAGGTAAGTAACAGCCTACCTTAAGATCACGATGAACTATGCACTTCTGATGACAGTACTGCACAGCAGACACAATCTGAAACACCAAGATGATCAGTGAAATATTTTATTTCCACCTCAGTCTAAGTTTTCATATATAATTTAGCAATTTTGGCTCCTGATATGATTCAGTAGAACATAAGAAATTAATAAATCTTTCATTCTAGAAAATATTCCTGTAATTTTCATTAAAGCTCAAATATTAAAACAAAAAAAAGTCCCTAAAAGTAACTCATTTTCTTATTTAAAAAGGTTTAATACATACTCCTCAAGGTAACAGGAGAAACACCTGTTTTAAATGCAGATCACCCAACAGCAGTAACTATAACAGGAAATTATTCCCTCTTCCACCCCAATAGCCGGATGTACCATTTCAGATTTTATCCTCTGAAATATTTGCCACATATCTCTGCAATTCATCCCTGACAGAACGGTTCATTCAATATTTTCAAATACATCTTTCATATACATATAACAAAAACCAAGTCCGAAACAGCAAGTTAAAAGCAGTTTCTTTACTTGTTAATTATATACCTTAAATCTGAAAAATACAAAGTTTTGTTTATTTATCTAGTTAAAGTTTTTCAGAAATAATCACAGAAAACAGGGTAAGAAAAAGATTAAGACATTAAAGTCTATAGTAAGAATATAAAAGCCTGTTACGGCATACCCTTCAAACAAAACAATGTGACATGACACAGCAATACACGTCATATCAACATATCTAGATAGAACATCTGTTAAATTCTAAAATATTCAGAAAAGGATTGAAATCTCAGTGAGTCACAATAAAGAATGCGGCTCATAGGAACATCCACTAAAGAAGAATGTAAAACAGTGTTACTATTTTTAGACAGTATGTAGGAAGCAGATATTTTTCTCTTTGGGGATTTTTTTCCACTCCAGCTTTAATAAACATTATCACAACAATGAATTTTTTTTTAAAGTGAAAGGAGTGTGCATATGCTCATGTCTATCTGAAAACACCACCAGTAGAAACAAAAGCAAGAGTGAATGTTAATTTCATACCTGCCTGAATTTTGCACGAGCCTCTTTCTCTTTCATTCTTCCATGTGCAACCAGGTAGTCAAACACTTCTCCTGATCACGACAAGGAAAGAAAATCAGTCCTGTTGCCCAGGATTGATTTTTGACTGTCCTGCACAGTCAAATCACGCTTGAAAACAACACCCACCTCCCTTCCACCCCTGCCTTCTTGAAAGGAAAGGAAATACAAGCAGCCTTTTTACTGTTTGCACTGGATTTAACTTTTCAGACATGTAATAGTCAACATATATAAAAATGAAACCCTTCATACTAAGGCTTCTTCAATTTTTAAAATAAATCTACTTAAAAACTAAACCAAAAAAATTACTTCAATCATGAAAAACATTCTTATTGCATATAACACACACTGGGAAACAGGCACTTGTTTTGTACCAGATCCATTCTACATCTCTCTAGTGGCTTCACTTAACAGTATCTACATTACTGCTGGTTTTTCCTTCTTGTTTCCTTTCCAATAAAGCTGCTCAAACGCTTTCCAGGTCCTCACCTTTGCACTGTCTGAGAAGCAGCCTTTCCCAGCTGGCCACTAGCCCTGTGCTGGGTTCCCTGCCTACATTCAAACCTCTCCCATATGGATCCTCAGCAGCTTCTCCAGCAGACACCCACCCTCTCCCTCACTTCCTATGGCCCTGCTAGTCCCCGTTTCCATGCTCCTTATTCCTGTCCCCTGGATCTGCCACTCCCAAGGCTTTGGCACATGTTTTCAAGATAAAACGAGCCACCAGTGCTTGCCTAAATATAGCAGATAAATGATACTGGTTCTGGCAAAAACTTGACTCAGCACCAGATTATCTCCTGAAGTTCCAGCAGAAGCTTCAGAACGCTAAGACCCTTAAGCACAAACACAACAGGTTACTTTACAGAATGTGACACAAGAAAGCCAGCCCTGGGAGATCTGCTAGCACCACTGGGAAGGCTAGACTGGAGTAACGCATTAACCATAAAAGCCTTAAATCACTCCTAAGCATGCAACCGGCACGGCTTTCTGTATCTCAGTTTATCCTTAAAGCAGAATTAAGAATCCACTTACCCCCACTGGCATATTCCATTACCAAATACAACGTCTTTTCAGTTTCAATAACTTCAAATAATTTTACTGCAAGAAAAATGAATGAGAGAGATTGCAGCAAGGAGCAAAAGCACAGCACAAAAAAATCATACTTAAGAAGCGAGTATAATTTATGGCCAGTGATAAAACTAAACCGTATGAAAACTTTAGATCCTTTAGCATTCTTTTGAGGGGAAAAAAAGCAAAATTAATTTCTAAATCACAACTGATAAGAAAGCACATTAATTCACAGTTTTCTCAGCAGTTTATGCGCAATGTACAAACGAGCTCATGCTGAAATTAGTGTTTGACACAGACGTCTTTAAGATCACACAAATCTTCCCTGTTCCACTAGTAAACCGCTCCCAGTTAGAAACCTGAGACTCTGACCAACTAAAAACTCTGACCAAGAAAACAGTGAATAGCAGAAACGTTAAGTCTGAAAGACTTCCCTCAGCTCCTAATAGGAACCACTTATTTAAAAAAAAATCCCACCCCCTGCCACCACCCTGAGAAAACCAAGGCCAGCAGAAGGTAAGACCGCTGGAGAAGCCACAAGCTGTGAGGGCAGGGGGCAGGAGGCCTGGCAGGTGACACCTTTACTCCTCAGCAACACCTCTGTGCCACCAGCCCCCTGGCCGAGCCATGGCCACTGACTGTCTCTGGAACAGGGCCACACGGCCCTCCTCAGCCAGAGCTGGCATCACACGGCAGGGCCCTGAAGCTGCGGGGCAAGTGACAGAACTGAAGCAGAAAGGGAAAAGTACATACTTCGTAATTCTGATTTTCTGGAAATTGCAGTCAGAGGGACTTCAGACTTTTCCTAAACTGAACTAAGGGAGTTCTGCTACTTTCACCCAAGAAACTCATGGGTTTTGGCCTCACGAATAATTTCCATGGAAGAGGGGATCTGGAGCCCTCAAAGCCCGTCGTGCTCAGCATCTCCCACTTTGTGTTAAGGCTTTCCAGGACTGCGTAGTTTATCTCCTCAGAGCAAAACTCTTGTTTCAAGCAGAGTCAATACAGGAGGTAAGACAATGAAGCATCTACTGAATGCTCACTGTCCTGTTAGCTCAAAAAAGTTGAATGAACAGAAGCACAGCAGTAAAGTACATTCAAATAAAGCCAAAGAGAGAAAAATATAAACAGTGTAATAAAAAAAAAAAGGTTGCAGAAATGCAGGACTCATACCAATATTGGGATGATTCAGTATCTTCATTATTCGTACTTCTCGAAACAACTGTCAAGGAAGCAAGACAAATTTCTTAAGACTGTGCTTATTAGGGAAAAATGACGCAAGATACGGAATTTTAGATGGCAAAAAGGAGCAGCGTAAGCCACAGAAAACAGCATTAGCATGAAATACAGATAAATATAGATCAGTGAACTCTACAAAATGTAATCTACATCTTATACATTACATAAAAAACCCCACTACCAACTGCATACCAAAACCAGACCAATGGCGTTGGTGACCGGCGAGCTCAGCTCATTACCCTGAACACATGCAGAACTGGGGGTGCAAACAGGAGCTGTGGTACCACAGAGCAGCCGGACACGCAGATGTGAAAACGGAATTAGACACCAGGAATGCTGACAGCTCCAGTCCTGCTGCTCTGCAGAGGAGCAGTGGGTGATTCATTTCTCTCACAATTACCAGATTTCACCCTGGGTCACAAACAGCGATGTCCCGTCCCCTCCCCTCCCAGCAAGACCTGGAGGTTTGTGATTGATGAAAGTCCGCTTTATGATCCCAATTCACATAAATAAAAACAACTGGACAACTTACAGCCTTAAGTGTATACACTTAATATTTTTTTTAACCACAAACAAGAGGTCTCCACTCCTAAATTTCTAGCATTGATGGGTTTATTGATTAAATAAGAGGTGAAGTAAGAGTAACGTAGGGCCTTAAGGGGCAGAAGGGAATCCCAAATGGCTACACAGTTGTGTTATTCTATATGTGAGGCTGTCAATACTGATAAGCCCATGCTGTTTCACTTCATGTGAACAGCACACTGCCTTCCTCATGCCTATGCACGGGGCTGCTCCCCATTCACTGGGATGAAGTAGGATGCGGAGACGAAGGATGAGACTTTCCCTGGCTTCAGTGTAACACTGAGACATTCTGGAAACACCTTCTCACTCCAGCCCCACTTCCAGAGCCCTGACCCAATGGAGGAGTGCATGGCTGATGTCCCTATGAACACCTCTCCCTCCACTTTCAAAATCAGTCCCGTCTGTGCAGATGCTGCTTCTGCAGAGGAGTGCAATGATGTGACCCAGAGACAGAACCTCCTCAGAAAGCAGCACTTTGGTTTCTATTTTATGATGGCTGAGGCTACAAGTTAAGAGGAATTAGAATTCTTTTGCTTAGACAATACTGATTTTTTTTTTACTCCATTTGTGCAACTTCATCATAGTATTTCTAAAATTCTGCATTTATTCTACAAGTTAAGACTACAGAGCAGTATCTTTTTGAAAGTCAGCTTGTGATCAAGCAATGTTATTGGAGTTCTATATTTATGTTATTTAAGTATTTCAAGCTACTTACTATCCACTTGCCTTAAAATTGCCATTAAAACAATTTCAGATGGGAGCAAAGACTATAAAAGCATTTCTCTGAGAAAACATGAACAGTATGATGCAGTTTGCTTATGTTCAAAATGTAACACATGGATATCTAATCCTATTAGATATTAATAGAATTAACTTTAGCAAATATTGTTTCATCGTAAAGTCAGTTGTTCCCATGAAAAAGCACCATACCAGGCTGTTCTTTGTGCATTTTTTTGTTGTTTTGATTTTCTAAGTATTTTAATTTGTTGCACACGAAAACATTTCTCAGCTCAATCGATATCAATTAGTCAGAAGCGAAGAAATCTAACCCAATAGATGGCATGGCTTCAGAAAAGCTTCTAAGCAAGTATGTGGAAAACTGCAATTCCTGCCAGAAGATTCTAAAGATATTTCATAACTTAACAGTATTAATGCTGGTATAAAAGTTACAGCAATGGAGGCATGTCTTCATAATCAGGATTAAAATGTTAGACTTCTATAAATAAAATAATTTCATATCTAGAAAAAAAGATTATTAAGCAGCACAATTTTACATGTAATGTGAAACACATAGTAATTGCAAAAAAAAAAAAAAAGAAGTGCATTATTCTATTCAATATTTTCACAGGATTTAGAAGTTTACTAATTGATTTAAGATTCAAATTGATTTTCCAGTGACATGAAATTTTGTTCCACATTATATATAATTTTTCCTTCCATAAAGGAAAAAGTCTATTAGAAAAGCGACATAAAACACTGCTTTTCTCAAGACAGAACATTACTGACCTCTAGCCTGATACTTTGCTATATGAAAGAAATACTTACTTGCTCTGGTTCCGAACAGAAGACATCATCAAGACCCGAAGTATGGGTTTAGGTTTATTCCATACAAACGCCAATAATTTTTTTTTTACTACTCCTTGCATTATATACCTCTTGAGTAGATATTTTTCAGAAAACTGAAGCCCATGTTCTCATACAAAAGCAGATACAGTCCTGGCAGTCACCATGAGTACATCAAGAGGAAGTAATTACCCTCAACTTTGGAAAGAAAGCAGCAATTCCAAGAGAAACGCTAAATGAACTCTGAGTCACGGGGTGAATCTTGGTATTTTCTTTCTGGCTAGTAGCTCTGAGGTGGGATGCTTGTTTGTTTGGGAATTTTGACTCAAGGGCTCTTTTAATGTGGGATGAAACGTGTTTGCACGCTTCCAGCAAGAGTTGGACAAGGCTGAAGCAGCCAGAGGTATCTTGGGTGATGCTCGTCCACCTCGACAAATCATGTCGAGCATAAACTGAATGGAAACTGGCTGGTTTACTTTACAGACAGGATGATGCCAGCCTCCCTACAAATGTGTAAAACCAGGGAAAGAGAGAAATCAGCAGAGTAAGAACTGAAAGAATAGTTGAAATCTTGGAACCCACCTGTAGATACCTGCTTGCTTAATGGCTGGCTCTGAGAAAAGATTGAAACCCCTCAGTGGCTGTCAGGTTGACATCTATGTGTAAGATTTATTCTTTTAAGTCACTACAATCAAGCTAAAAATCTTCAGTTAACCCAAGCTTTTTCTCACTTCGAAACATGTGCTCGAATGCGTCTCTAGTTTCTAAATCATTACTGAGAAGGGATGTTGCAAAAAAGTTGTTAAATTCCAATAGGCAACATTGAAATTGATCAAAATTTTCTACTACTTCTTTACTTCTACTCTGCTTTTCTTAAAACCAAAAAGAACCTAAGTTTGAGGCTTTGGATACGTTTAAAGAATAAGAAGCAGCCCACTAACCCTTAGAAGGGGAAACACTGAAATGCCACTTGTAATCAAACCCACTAAAGTAAAAAAACCCCTTCTGCTCCACCAGCATCTTGCAGCAGAGCCACAGAACGCTACTGCAGCCACATCCCCAGTGAAGCCAGCACAAGACAACACTGTCCATGCAGCAGACATACAGAGAACAGAACAGCTGTTTTGACATAATTTCTAGTTATGATGAAACCCAAATACTTACATTTGGGAACAAATTACAACCATGACAGTGGGAAAAGCTAAGTCAGTACAATATGTTACTATCAAGACAGCAAGTTCACAAAGAAGCCAGCTCTGTCTTCTACCCAGGTTCTCACAGAGTAAGATGTGATTTGTTCACATAGTGAACAAATTGAAAACAAAGTAAGAGGTAGTGCCCTTAATTCAACATTGTTTATCTATTCGAAGAGGTAGAGGTCCTGAAGCAAGAAATATAATGTAACTATACACTACCGCATTGCGTGCACAAGGATACAAAACTAAAAATTCACAGGGTCTGCTTGCTTGTGACATCTCCTCACATGGGATGGTGTAAGTTAAAGTAACTATGTCTACAAAGTGTCCTGTCCATCCCATAGGGCACAAATAACACTGGAGAATGGCTAAGAACAAACCAGATGCTTTCCCTGCTTTTGAACCCATCAGTAACCGCAGACTGGCCTGCAGGAGGCTGGCAGCAGCTCATGCATGTAGTTCAGGTCACAAAACAGAACCCCAAGTGAGGAGCTCCATTCGTTTTACTGAAGCTGCAAGGACTATGGCAAAACCTGCTTGCCCTTGGCAACCTGTACATTACAGCGAATGGAAAGGGGATGGTTTGGTGAATGAACCTGTGCCTAAGATACGCCTAAGACTGCGTATGTCATGTCTCCTTTGACTCATAAAAGCCAATAGTTACCGAAGGCCTAAAAGTTTTGCTGAGCTGTGTACAAAGTACCAGCTCTGAAGTTCTAGAGGCTGTCCATCAACTATGCTAATTTAAATGAGTTCAGAGCCAGGACTATTCAAACACACTCCAGCACTCCTCTATGAACATTCATTAGAGAAACGTCTGGGCCTATCAGAACAATACGACTGCTGCTTCCCCTTCCCAGCATTACCTCTTGAAGAAGAAACAGACTACTTAACAGTCCTATGCACAGCATAACTCTGATGACAAAATGATACAAATTCACATTACAGTGATCCTACACAGTACATAAAGAATCACGAACTTCATGTAATACTTCAGTGCAGGAAGAAAAATAAAGGCGACTGATTTCACAGAACAAATATATTTTTAATTGTTTTATTTAGAATACAAAAATGACCTATCAAAATACTAACAGAAGCACACTGATGAACCACCCCCCCACCCTTATTTGCCTAAAAAAACTACAGCTGCTTGAGTGACTGCGCAAAACCTGTGACTAAGCTTACTTAAAAGCTTTCAGGGAATCAATATTCAGTTTCACTCAAAATTTTCGGAAAATTGTAGGAAGCTGAAGATGTTTAGAGCTTCAAAACAAAGATTATTTTTTCCGAAAATGACAATCAAGTCATTACAAAGGAGAACTTTATACCAACAGATTATCACACTTTTCAGAGTAAGCAGAAGATGCATGGGATAAATATTTCTAGAATTTATTGAAGAAGAATGGAATTGTGGTTAAATCACTAAATTTAACTTGTGTCCCTAGTTCTGCCAGAAGCTGCTTCTGACTGCACCTAAAAATGTTTCTCCTGTTACCAGCTTCCCACTCAAAAAACAAGTAACAGCAGCAATGCACTATTGCAAGTATTTTGTGTACTACTTGTGCAGTGGGACAGCATCTTTTGTAGGCTATGGAAGTTTCACTTATACTTGGAATGATCTATTGACTTATTGAATATTTGTGTGTGAAATACAGATTACTTCTCATTAAAGCAAGTATCTCAGAAGTCAGGTTTTCATGGTTAGTCTTCTGGAAAGCGTTATCATTTTTTACCCTCTCATTGCTCAACAAGGAGACAAACTCTCCTGGCTCTCCAAGAGTAAATACCCAGCTGGGTAGGAACTAAGCTTGTGAGCAGCGCAAGACTTCCCCAACGTGCTCACTCACATCCTGCCTCTGCAGGTCCCTCTTCACCAGCTCAAATATTAGCAGGGAGATTTGCTTAATAGAGAATATAGGACTTCAGGATAGCAAAGCTTTTGCATGGACTCTGAACAACAGGTTGAATAATAAAAAAAAATTCTGAAGAACCCACACTCAAACAAAAACACTACAGAAGAGAAATTAAAGCAAGTAAATCAAAGAAAAAAAGAAATTAAAGCAAAGTTGTTTATAACTCCCTATAACCAAAGTTACACAATAAAATAAACATAATGGCAGCCAGAGACAGAAACCCAGCAATAAGCCCTAGTCTCTTTCTCTCATTTCACAGCTACAGACAGCAGCGGCCTAGTGTTTGTAAACAAAAAACATCCCAAATTTTTATAATGGGCAACCTCCAGTAGGACACTACAACATTTCAGTGCTCCAGCCAAAACCAAACATACGAGTAGTTAAATAGTAAAAAACCCCAAACCAAACAAAAAGTGTCAGGGTTTTGTTAAAACACTTATCACAAGGGTTATGAAGGACTTCTGAATATCTATTCAGAAACAAACAAGAATATTCTGATTACATTCAGACAGTTTGTCAATTCTATACACAAAAAGTATTGCCAAAGGTCCCTTGAGATTAACAAATATTTTAATAGAAGTTGAAAGAACATAAAAAAAAAGGTAAAAAAAATTAAAGCCATAAAAATTGGCTCTCCCATAAGCCCACAAAATCCAATTACTACATTAAAGAAAAATACTATCCTGTACATCATTACATCTTGATTTAGTACGTAGTTAGCTACAAATGCTACTGTCAGCACAGTAAAGGCAGAGGAGGAAGAAGTGCAAAGCAGTGATGCTTCAATGGGAACCACATGAAGTACCTGCCCCCAGCCAAGCTGCACAGGCCCATTACAGCACAGGCAGCAGAACGCCACTGTCTCCCAAGGCCACACGTACACAAAGAGATTGGTTTAGCAATATTAAGAGACTGAATATTTTTGTCTAGTAAATAGAAGGTCACAGTTCAACCGTTTATAGAATTTTAGATACCATGGTATATTCTTACCTTTTGCAGACTAGTAGGATTTAGCTGGGTTTTATCTATTATTTTCACAGCAACCTTAGGAAAAAACAAACAACCATGGATTATTAAACTCAGAAAAGAGTTTGAACAAAAATATATCGCACCTCTGTGAGCAAAAGCACAGATATGCCCATAAGACATGCATGTATGTCTGCTTTTATGCATTTCATCAAGCAAAATTTCTCACCTATTAGGATTTACCAGCAGGAGCTCAGAACTTTGCCACCAGATGGTACCAGCAAGGAATCAGTTTTATACTTCTGTCAGTGTTTGGACAGAACAAGGTTATCCTGTCCACTGCAAAACCAGGCCCTTCAAACACAAGATCTATCTATCAATAGATTTCAACAGCAAGGATCTATCTATCTATCAATAGATTATAAATATCAATGAAATCTATCTACCAATAGATTTCTCTTCTGTTTTGGAAATGTTCCAGCATGAAGGGACCCCCTCCCAGCCCCAACCCCTTAATGAGTAACACACATTTTCATCTCTTCACCAAGAAGTTACATTTTAAAAAAAAGGAGTGAGTGATTAAAGGGACAGAACTTGAGCACATCGGGTGACTTTTCTTATATCCTGAAACAGCCTCTTTACATCTTCCTTTATGATGACAAAAATGTGCTTTTTCTATTCAGAAGAGAAAGGTAGAATAATAGCAGAAATACTTATTGTAAAGATAACATTATAAAGAGAATATAAAACACCGTTGGCAGGTTTTTCCCTTTAAAGGCTTACCTCTCTTCCAGTAAGCACATGCCTTGCCAGCTTCACTTTGGCAAAATTTCCTTTTCCTATTGTTTTCAGTAAGCGATAATTTCCAATGTGAGGGTGCTCCTCATTGGTAGAGGTGATGGAGTTTCTGCACCGGGGGATGTTTTGTCTGCTGCTGGACTTGATGGGCTGGACGTGTGGTTCCGTGTAGCCATCCACAGAGGTGTGCTGGAAGGCAGATAAAGAGGTGGGAATTTAGCTACTTGAATAGACCAGAAACTTAAAAAAGGTGGAGAAGGGGGTAGTTTATTTACTTTTACAAGTATAACTAATAACTTTGGATGGTAGCTTAAGCAGAACGTGTGGTCTTTGGGCAGAGTTTGATGCACGTCTCACGATAAAGGTCTGCAGAAACATTTTACCAGGTTCAAAAGTAAAACCAGAGACACCCAGGCAGCAATCAACAAACCATTACAGACTTTGCAATACGAAACTATGCCATACTACACACTATACTACTATGTTGCAAATAAACTTGTCTAATCATAACCAAATTTAGTCTTTTCAAAATACCCAGTACAAAAATATTTGTGCTTTGGCATATTTGGAAACAAGGTTTCACTCAATTGTTCATCTCAAATAACACTGAGAAAAATAAACTTTCATGTAAGTTTTGTTCCCCAAACACATTTGCATCTTTTTGTAAGTCACAGAAGTTCTCATTCAAGTAATGAACAATGTACATCTTTATTTAAAATTAATCTATTCTTAAAAAGAAAACCCCATGCTCATAATGTTTCTCATAAATATGTTTTAAAACTCAAAAATTCTGAAGAACTGAAAGGATGTTATTTTTAATACCAACACATCATCCCACATTAACTGTTAGTCGCTGAAACCTGCAGTGCTACTGTACTCTTCAGCTTCCAAGTGTATAAGGGGCAAGACACAGATGGGACTTGGGAACCTTCCAAGGAGAAAACAAAACAACAGGAGATGTCAAAGGGGTGTGAAGTGTATCAGTATTTCAAACGCTTTCTAACATTAGTGGCAGATGGGTACAAATGTTTAACAGGTAAAAATTTAGACTCTCATCTTTAAAGTTACAGATTTTTAAGGCAGGCAAATACTGTAGGTAGAAAGTGTCTTCTCAGACCAGTTTTCAGATTTTGTAACAGAAAGGCACGTTTACTCCCAGCTCACTCAGTACCTGCTAAGCATAAAGCATCAACAAAACTCAAGATGCCTTAATACTTTCCCCTGATTCACTGTTTCAATCACAAAGTGGGTATCTCAGTATCTTTGCACAGAGCACTAACCGAGCCCGTTTCTTTACAGACCAAAGGTTTCTAGGTCTTTGACCTTAAGCCAAAAGCAGAGTTAGAAGGCTCCATTTCTCCCAAAACCCAATCTAACACCAGTCTGTGCTGATCTCACCTGTCATTCCTGAGGCAATTCATTATTTTTATACAAAATGGAATTTAAAGCAGTGTTTCCAACTTCAGTGCATATTTATTACAGACTGAAGTCAATTGCCTCCTGTAAACACCCAGGCTTCATGGATAGTCCCACCGAGCCAAACGGAGTTATTTTGGGACAGAAGCACCAGTAGAATTGGGAAAACCAACAAACAGCTGCAACACAACCGGAAAAAACAAGGAGTATACCACAACCAGAACATTCTTCCCGAATGTAGCACAACCCTGCTTACATCACCTCCAGGGTTATTAATTATTCACCATAGCCAGGAGAATGGTCCTAAATATAATTTTCTGTTTGTCTTTTCATTACCCAAGTCTCTCTGCAAAATACTACTTTACCCCCACTGCTAAACCACCTTCCAGATTACTGCAGGACCAAGCAAGCCAGGCATGTTTAGATGCTATATATCAGACAAATTTATTCAACCATGGAATAACATGCAAGCAATAACTTTAGAAGCGCACAATTAAAATACCTTCCATGGACTTAGAGGATCAGAAGGACAGCTCCAGGCAAAGAGGCTTTGAAACATTCCTTCAACATTGGACACTATTCCTACATGCGATAAATCAGTGCCCAAATAAAAGTCTTGCCTTACAAAACACTCTGCAAGATCAGTATTTATATGGTATTAATAATAAACATTAAAGTCATACCTAGAACCCCATCCAGAGCTACGGCACGATGCTACACAAGCAAGTTTGAAAAGTCTTGGAGCCTACATATACATACAATTAGATCTTCACAGCCCAAAATACAACGCCCACCAGAGCCACCAGCAGCCCTGGTATCAACTGCCAGTTCCCCAGGTGCCCTGGGACCAGCCCACGCCAGCAGGTACCAAAGGAATCCTCCAGATGAACAGTGGGAGAGGCGAGGAAACCCAGTGCCCCTGGCAGAATGAAAGGTGCCTTCACAGGATGGAGCGTTTCAGTGCAGATTTCACAGGGAGAGCAGTTATTCAATCATAATGACAATATAAACCACAAGCAAATCTGAAGAGGGGAAAAAAAAAAAAAGTAACAAGGTTCATGGTAATAATGATTCTGGATTTTGGTCTTTTTGTGACAGAAAAATTAAGCCCCTCCAGATAGCTTATTTACTCTCTCTTACAAGAGATTAGCTTTAGAGTCAACCATTCTCCTCAGCTATGCCCAAGGAAAACAGGAAACATACATAAAAAAGGTCACGTTCTGAACTATATATATATATATATATAAAAATAAAATTTCTGCATTTGAACAGCACTGAATGAAATCCAAATTATTCTCTTAAGCCTTGCGATAACCCTCTCTTTTGCACATAAACAGCTTGCCATTGTTGGAAAGTACAGAGGAATTTAAACTACAAACTCATCAACTTCCAGAAATCAGCATACAACTAAATTGAAACACAACAAGGTTAAGATGTTGGAAAACAATATCAAGTGAGGACAAATAATGGTGTCTCAGTGATTATTTCCGAACAATACTAAAGCTGAACTCCACAGAAGCATGCAATATCCACGCTGGCTAGAAAGACAGGCTACGTAGTTTTAAGATCTTTCTGGTCCATTACAATACATTCATTCATTATGCATCAGCTACTATGTGGCTATCTAAAAATGCCATTTCAGAACAATCTCTAAATTCTGAGAAATCTTTCAGGGTGCTGGAAACAAGTGAGCTGTAAAAACCCCCACTCTCCTTGAAGTTCACTGCCATCTAAAACCTATTCCAGCTAACAACCTGCATTTCCTACACAGGATTTTAATTAGGGATTCTGATAGTTCTCTTGATAATGTATCTAAATATACATATAGTTTAGTGAGAAACACTACCTTACTAGTACGTCATAAACATGACACCCTGTATGTTCAGTTTGTCAGCACTAAAATGTCTAGAAATCAACACAAAATTAGATATTTCTTAAAATAAGATGTAATTTTAAACAAGAAGGTGCAGCAGTAACAAAAGTTTAGAGCTGAAACAGTGTACTAGAGCAGCCGTTTAAATATTTTTCACATTAGTCAAGTACTTAAAAAAGCAAACAAGAAAAACTCCATACAAAACCCACCATCTTTTCAGAAATCTCAATAAAGCAATTCTACCATTCAATTCTATATTGTGACTGAAGAAAGCTCAATTAATACTTATCACTCCTAACTAGGTTTGTTTCTGAGTTCTATTAGAGTTATTACAGAAAGTCAATGGCACTAAAACTCACAAGAGAGTTAACCTGACCCATTGCTGCCCCGAAGCTCAAAGCTATCCTTTTCCTTGCTCACCCAAAAGCAAGGTGAGGTGATGCCCTGGCACGTTCTCTTTGAGAAAGTGCAGAAGAACTAACCCCATCAAGCAGATACAAACTGTGTGCTCCACTACTTGGCTTATTCAGTGTCCTTTACCCCTCAGCTGGCCAATGGGGTGGTATTCCCAGGGACTGTACACTGCAATGAAACTTACACCATTACACATATTAACTGCTCTTACAGCTTAGTCTTAAAAAGTCCCCAGAACTATTCTGGCGCCAAAACCACATAGTTTTTCCTCAAACAACACTGAAGGCCTCTCTAGTCCCTCTGTGTAACACGATAACTCCCACAGATTGATCTGCCTACAAATACATCCCACTCGATTAAGCAAACATATTAGTCCTCAATTTTGCCCTGCTTAAATTACTGTGAGGCAAATTCCTTGGTACTGTCAGCCCCTGGAAGCAAAGCGGTGCTGGAAAAGGCACATCACACTTCCTCTCTCAGTATTATCTCCCATTCTGAACTTAAGTTTCTTGCAGCCAATTTTTATATTCATAACTGCAAACGTTTTCAAGCATGTGCCATACACATGAACACTTGTAACAGCTGTCAGATTTTGCAAGGCAATCAAGACAGAAGGTATCTGAAGGGGTCAGAAGACCAGCTTCTAACTGCCTCTGATCTGCAACAGCTTTGATTCACAATCCAGGGGAAGGAAAGGGGAGAAAGATGAGAAATAGTGTCCTGGATGTCCGGCTGCTTTCGTGTTTAACTGCTTGCTGCCCATAACCATTCCTTTAGGACCTAGAAGCTTCTAGCAAACCACTCAGGCAAGTCTTTTTCTTTTGCTGAAGTAACAATCAACTAAACTACAAGAGTCCAATTTTTTGAAAGACCTTGGTAAACCTCACAGTAGAACCCAACAGAGATGTTCAAATCAGCTTGTTCTGCTTCATGTATCAAGAGCACCCAGAGGTCCAGGTTTCAAGGTATGAAGCCTGGTGCAACTGTGACCTGCACAAGATAACAGTACCTGACCCATCAGTTAGTGCCAAGGAGGATTCACTCCTCTTCTAGGTAAACCCACACCTGCACAAACCCACAGCTTACTCCTGCCACATCACACTACAATCATGAACGCACCTCTGATCTCAACCAGAACATTAAGCACTATCTACTGTACCTTTTCTTACCTCTCAGACACGTACAAAAGTGCTTTGGAGGGGGAAATTAAAAAGACTGAGTGTGTGTGTATGCACACGTGATCCTTTTAATGATTTCTTATCAGCAATCAAATGCATACCAGATTGTGAACGTATGATGACATTTTGTTATAAAACCCCCAAATATCTAAGGTGATCAACCTGCTCCACTGCAACAGGGTAGTATGCAGGACTCAGCTCAAAAGAACCTCCCAAAACCCAAACAAACAAAAACCACAGTGAGGGAAATGGAAAATGTATACACAGATTTTAAATTGGGTGTCGAGACCAGTGCACAGCAGAGGCAG